ACTTCGAAACAAATGGTCGCCTGTTTTTTCGGAAAAACTGGTCATGTGGCAACAGTGCCTTTAGAGGAACGTAGAACGGTCAATTCTGAATGATACACAACCATTTGTTTGTCGGAAGTCTTCAGTGAAATAAGGAAAACAAACAAGCGCCGCCGGATCATTCTTCATCAAGACGATGCCAGCTGTCATACATCTCGTCTAATAACCGACTATTTGAGCACTCAAAAAATTGAATTAATGGGTCATCCGCCGTACAGTCCTGATTTGGCACCAAATAACTTCTTTTTGTTCCCGAACGTCAAGAATAAATTGCGTGGACAACGATTTACGTCGGCAGAAGAAGCCATTGATGCGTTCAAAGACCATATTTTGGAGGTGTCTCAAGCGGAATGGAAAAAATGCTTTGACAAGTGGTTCGAACGCATGCAAAAGTGTATAGATCATAAAGGAGAATATTTTGAAAAACAATAAATGACAAATTATTGTTTTTTTATTATTATTTTTATTATTAGGCTCAAAATATAAATAGTGACCCTCGTACCTATTAGATGTTCACGCTGTATAAAACCTGACTTATCTTTTTTTAAACGCTGAAAGTCAAACGTAGCCACAGAATTATTAAAGTCATTAATAGTGAATAAATTTTCTTCAATAATGCAATATCTTAAAAAACTTCTGATCATAATTTCCAAAGGTACTTCAATTATAATATGGTATGCATAGCGTCTTGAGGCAAATATACAGTAACATCTACACTGTTAGAAATTTCTCAATGAATTTTAATTAACATGTAAAGGAAGCATGTGGTTATGCACGAAATTAAATGTAATGAATGATGTAAATAAAAACTAAATTACAGTAGTCTTAAATGTTATGAACGTGTTTATTGAAATTAATGAACACATTATTATAGAAATTAATTTACACGTTAATGAAAAAAGTACGAGATCTGTAACTGAAAAGTAATTTACGTTAATGACATGTAAGAAACGTAAACGTATTAAACGTTAAGCATTAATAGTATTAGGCTTAATTAAAATATTATTAATATTCGTAAATTTAATGTACTGTAAACTTAAATTTCATTAATATGTACATTAATAGTTATTTCAATTACGATTAATTAAATGTCATTTATATCCATAAATGAAAAGTATATTAAATTTCATTACACTTAATTTTTCAGTTACTGTAAACTTAAATCTCATTAACATGTACATTAATAGTCCTTTCAGTTACAGAGAAATTAAACTTCATTCACCAACGTACATTAAAAGTTAATGAAATTTAAGAACATTTCTAACAGTGTATGTATGGGCTAGAGATCAAGGGACTTCTTGCATTAACACCGTACAATTTCTGCCAAAATGTTTTAGTTGCTCTTGTTATTGTTGGATCTGTCACTACTGTAATATGTGACTCGTGATCAGCTTTATTTCGTAATATAAAATTGTCTTCGCGAAATTTGTCTTTCCATCATTTGTCACCATACATGTACGACATAGTCGATAAGCAGCAGAAGACTCTTTGAAACCTCCTAATAATGCAGCTGCAGGAGTATCACAAGCACAAAAGAGTAAAGATCCCTTAAAATTTTTAATTTTACCTCTTACGTTAATAGTAATAACGCCTTCTGATTTTAACTTTTTGATATCTGACATAAATGGTTCCATCATTTTGTCTAAAGCACCAGATATTCTGTTTTCGTAATTCCATACAATTGAAAAGCATTCTGATTTGATCGAAATTCCGGGTGTCCAATAGAACATTGACATTTTATGAATTTTGGATGATCCTCCAAGGGGATTAGTAATACCGAGATCATCATAAATATTATAGCTAATGATTTATTGTCATGATTACTAAAAAATTCACTCGTACGATAATAACATCCATCCAACACAGTACGATATAGTTCATCTTTATGCTGTTTAGGATTTTCAATATTTGACAATATTTGCTCATTTCATAAGAAGATTTTTTAAATTATCTAAAAATAGCACTATGTATGCATCATAAGTAACATCAATGATTTCAGGAACGATATTTATTGAACTTTTTCTTTTCTTCCATTTTATACCGGTATCAAGAGAAATTTTTGTTGGAGGTTGTTATCATACCAAATTTTTCTTCAAGTTGTCACATCTGAAGTCGCGTGTTTGTCGGGCTTGTTGTCTTTCGAGACGCGGCATGACTTGCGTATAGCGCGAGCGCGGAGCGGGGCGCGCGGGGCGAAGCCTTAGCTTCAGGAGAGCGATGTTTCGATAACCGTTTCGCGTAACGGGGGCAGGCTGCTGTCACCAGTGCCTTTCGTACAGGCACGAAATCTTTGTATCCTATCGGGGATTCTTGAGAGCGCTTTTATATTAAGTCGTTCCTTCGAGATCCTTCAGTGAGAAAATTAATCGGAGAATTAGAGGGGTTTTCAGATATTTATTAGCGCCCCCGCGTGCAGTGGGCACTTATAACATGGAGATTATAATCTCTCAAAAGGGCAGCT